GAGAGAGAGAGAGAGAGAGAGAGAGAGGCTGTGTATGTATGAATTACCACCGTTTTGCCGCGTTTCTCTAACAGTGAAGCTGTGGCTTTAATTCCTTTAGAAACAATGATGCTACCAGCTCCTTGTTGTGAAAGATAATGTAGCTCTTGAGCGATTAAGCTATTGATAAAAGTTGATAAAATTGCGGGGGCAGCGCTAAAAAGTGTGAAAAATCTGTGTGAGTGAGCATGTGTGTGCGTTAGATACAGTGAAGACAGCGCGTTAGTTTAGAACGTAGAGAGTGTGTTAATTTGTGCGATGATAACCTACCAGCAATGTAAATTATTTTTTTTATATATTAGAATGAGTACATTACAATATACATTTATTAGAACGAGTACATTATTATTTATGGGCTTAAAAACAAGATGCAAACAATCAGAATATTGTACCTGGTGGGGAGTGCACAATGTAAACATGAAACATATGCCATTACCTATATTGTACTGTGGTACAGTTATGGAGGCCCTTCATAATGCAGAGGTCAACTGCCTGCTCTGCCAATAGTTAGAAATGGCACTATAGTAAGCAGTGTGAGGTGAAATTCAGTGCAGTCATGTATCGTGATACGTATCGTATCGTGGCCTCTGTATCGAGATACGTATCGTATCGTGACTTTGCTGGTGATACACAGCCCTACCGACTAGCAGTACATTGTTATTTTTATCTCGACCTGCACTTCACAACAACACAACCTTGTTTCTGCAAACACTGATTCAAATGACATTTCAGAAAATCTGATTCAGTCTGACCGCACTAACATTTTTTTTGCCACTTAAAATGTAAAAATGTCAGACATTGTTGTAGGAAACATGCTGACAGTTGGTGCAGAAACAATGTGTTTTTAGGAAGTGCAGGTCGAACAAAAACGTATTATAAAATCGGATAGTTCACCCAAAAATGAAAATTCTGTCATTAATTACTCACCCTCATGTCGTTCCAAACCTGTAAGACCTTCATTCATCTTTGGAACACAAATTAAGATATTTTTGATGAAATCCGAGAGCTTTCTGACTCTGCTTTTTCAGCAACGCAACTACCACGTTCAAGGCCCAGAAAGGTAGTAAGGACATCGGGAAGTCGTGGCCTAATGGTTAGAGAGTCGGACTCGTAACCCAAAGGTTGCGGGTTTGAGTCTCGTACCGGCAGGGATTGTAGGTGGGGGGAGTGAATGTACAGCGCTCTCTCCCACCTTCAATATCACGACTGAGGTGCCCTTGAGCAAGGCACCGAACCCCCAACTGCTCCCCGGGCGCCGCAGCATAAATGGCTGCCCACTGCTCCGGGTGTGTGTTCACGGTGTGTGTGTGTTCACTGCTGTGTGTGTGCATTTTGGATGGGATAAATGCAGAGCACTAATTCTGAGTATGGGTCACCATACTTGGCCACATGTCACGTCACTCACTTTTTTAAATAGTCCATGTGACATCAGTGCTTCAACCACAATGTTATGAAGCTACACGAATGCTTTTTGTATGCAAAGAAACAAACAAAAAAGACTTTATTCAACAATTTTTTTCTCTTCCGTGTCAGTCTTCGCCACTATTCATTGGTACTCTTGTGAATGGCGGCGGAAACTGTCCTGGAAGGGGAGAAATTCTTGAATAAAGTCATTTCAATGGAACTGAAACTTGCTGTCTATGGAGGGTCAGAAAGCTCTCTGATTTCACCAAAAATATCTTAATTTGTGTTCTGAAGATGAACGAATGTCTTACGGGTTTGGAACGACATGAGGGTGAGTAATTAATTACAGAATTTTGATTTTTGGGTGAACTATCCCTTTAATGTCAGCTATCCCATCGTAGCCAGCTGCTTGACTTACGATGTTTCTCTTTGCACATGTACAGTATTATGTGAAGCATCCGTATAGTCAATTATTTATATATAGTATATTCAGTCAAAATCTGTCAGTAGGTTAGTTGTGTATAGGTTTTACTGTTTTACTTCATTGTTGTATGCCTGTATTTATGTAGCACCGTGGTCCTGTGAGGCACGACATTTCGTTCCACTGTATGTCCCCACATGTAGCAGAATGACAATAAAGCTCAACTTGAACTTGATGTGATTTTTTTTTTTTTGCGGTTTACACTTGCTAAATATGATCAGATTCCAAATGGATGTGCACAAAAATCAGATTTGGACTGACAGTCTAAACAAGGCATTAGCTCCCTTATCTCCCATCATGTCCAATCATAAAAAAAAATAAAAAAAAATAATTCAGTTTCTTTCTAATTATTCCCAAACCTTTTGACAGGCAAATTTATTTTTTTTTACTTACGTTTACCCGAAGTACCCCATGAGATTTTCAAATAATATTTCAATCCTTTAACAACACATCTACATATTCAGTTCTCTAATTTAGATTATTGGTCACATGCAGGTAAACAAATTAAATGTTTCATGTTTTTAGTAAGGGTTTTATTTTGATTGTTTTTATTTTAAAATGATTTATTTATTTAAATTTTACATGCTTATGACCTACTTATTAGCTTTCCATCAACTCATACCCCCTGCAGTTTCCTCACAAATCCCCAGGCGTTTGCAAACCCTGTCATACACCATGCTCTAGATCAGGGGTGTCCAAATCAGATCCTGGAGGGGCACTGTCCTGCAGAGTTTAGCTCCAACCCCAGTTAAACACACCTGAACCAACTAATCAAGCTCTTTAGACTCATTTGAAACTTCTAGGCAAGTGTGTTGGAACTAAAATTCACAGGATTGGATACCCCTGCTATAGAGTCTGTATGTAATACCTCCAATCCAAGAGGGGGCAGTCTCACCTATCGCTCCACGGTCCACTCCACTCCTTTTCACCCCAGGGGTTCCTCATGCGAATCATGTGTAGCTTTTCTGACTTGAAATACGCCAGAAGGCCATGTCCCAGACGGACCTTGCGAACGTCGGTCACCGCATAGGCATGGCCTTTCACTAACCCACAGTCCAGTCTTGCCTCCATGTCCTCTAGTGTGGTTGCCTGTACACCAAAGGTCAAATTTCAGTTAGTTTGCTGAACACCAATTTCAAGTCTATCCAAAAGCATAATAATCTTTATCCCTGATTAGAATGCAAGCACATGAACTGTCTGTGAATTATCGATTATGAAAATATCGGCCGTTATTTCATGGTACAGTGAAATATGGTGATGTTAATCAGTAGGAGACAAGCCACGCCCATTTATCACACTCCAGTGAGCAGAGGGCTTGCTGTGCAAATGAGCTGGCAATATGCATAGATTTGTAGGCTCTGTGACATGAATAATTGTGTCGACATAATCAAGACTAAGTTGTAAGAATGGACAGAGAGTGACTGAACTTGGACATGAAAGGACTTTGTTGAGTATATAACAGAACATTTATAAATCAATGCAAACCGTTTAATTTTCTCCTCAACATTTGAACAAAAGCCCTTAAGTTGTGGTGAAACTTGATAAAGTTGTTTCTGTTATGATCCCCGGATAACCTGCTTACATCACAGACCTGTCTGGCACATCAGATGATGCTGTTCAAATGAATTTCTAAATGTTTCTGAACACTCAATGGAGTTCTCTTTTGCACTGAGAGGCATTTTATTTGATATCCTAGTGAAGAAAAACAACTTCCAGCTATGAAGATATTCAAAAACGTAGTTTTTTTTTCCATGTATGAAAGGAATCACAGACCATTGATAAGCAAGTCACACACAATCAAAGATTGCTTTGAGTCTGGGAAGGTACAGTCTTATAAAAGAAAATAATTGAAGGCAGAAAAAATGATGGATGGCTGGATTAATAGATGGATGAGTGTCTGAATACAAATCTTGACAGACGTGAGACAAATGCTGATCAATAATATGTACTACATGTGTTAGTGTATAAATATAGGAATAAATATAAAAATATAATATATATAAAGTATACTGTACTAAAATATACTAAAATAAAGTAAGAGTGTCCTTCTCACCCTGATAGAGCAGCTGATAAGGCCGTCTCGATTATGGACCTTGAGCACTCTCTCAAAGAGTTGGTTTCTGGCGACTTCATCCTGAGCAAACTGGCCCTCCAGAAGGTCCATGGGTTCTGACACACCGCCAGTAAAGTCCACCAGGGCATCAGCTGTGTTTCCACCATCCAGGGCCTCATAGCAGCCATAAACTCTTGAATGGTATAGAGAAAGAACTTAGCATCACTATGTTATCACACTACTTGAATGTTAATCTCTGTATAGACCTTTTGAATTTGTCTGCTGCCTGAACTGCTTACTTGGCATAGGCTTTTTCCACAAGGGCACTCCAGAACTCGTTGCTATCATTTGAATGGCAGTACACCAGCTGGTTATCCACTGTGGGGAGACGGTCATCGATCACCACGTCCACCCATTCCCCAAACCGCCAGAAGCGGAAGTGGAATATTCCTGCATAAGAGTCTGCCTTCTCTGGATCCCATTCCTGCTCCTTCCAGTCTGGGATAAGCTAGAAAGAGACAAAAGTGACATGTAGTGCCATTTCAATTTTAGTAAAAGTTTTTGTCATTTTGTTATGTGCATTTGTCATTTTTTATTAGTTTTATTCTTAAAAACATTTAAGTTTCAGAAATTTCAGTACTTCAACATAACCTTATTTTATTATGGTTAGTTGATAAGACAACCTTTCTCATTTTTATTTAAATGTTTGGATACACTTTACTTAAAGCCTTTATGTATGATGCATTATAAAAGCAGTTTTAATGCAATAATTATGCCTTGTAATGCACCTTATAATGCATTGTTCAATCTCATGAATAATTGTAACTTTACACTTATCAATTCATTGATACAAAATGCATCTTAAATTGATTTGGTTATAATTATTTACGACAAGATGTAATGCATTACAAAGCACATTATGAATAATTATAATGTATTACACCCTTTAATAACCCTTTATTATGCATTATATACAAAGGCTTTAAAGGGGTCCTATTATGTACCAGCTCCTGCCTCTTTGCCCATTTTCGATTATCCGGGAGTGACGCGCGGTGACGCGCTGCCAAGATGACGACGGCCAGCTCCGCCTACTTTAGGCTTCAAAAACGCTCTTAGGAAACCTACGGGCGACGTCACGGACACTACGTCCCTTTTTTTTATACAGTCTATGGTTCTAACCACGACCTCGCCCCTCCCCACCCTTCAACCATTCTAATTTCTGTAGGCGGGAATTATTTTAATGATATTCTAATGGACCACTTTGTGATATCACAAAACCCGGAAAACAAACGCTGTAGTCCAAACGAGCCGTTCGTTGTAGTTCTAGAAAAGGGATTTTTTTAAAAAGGACTTTGAGATTTGTAAGTTTTAAGATCTTTTTTATGCCCAAACATACACACTACACACTGACTAAAATTCAAAAAGTGAAAAAGCATAATAGGACCCCTTTAAGTAAAGTGTTACCAAATGTTTTTCATCCACTATTTTATTTAAAAGTTTTCTTTTAAATAAAATAATATTTATCTAATAATTTTATTAACATGATTAATGATTTTTAATAGTTTTAGTTAAAGCTGCAGTCCGTAACTTTTTTTGGTTAAAAATTATCCAAAATCAATATTTGAGCAAGTACATAACCAGCCAGTGTTCAAAACTATCGCCTTACTTTAGCCCGATTCACAACGGTTAGCTTATAATAATGTTTTCTAATTTGAGTGGTACGGGTAGGTTTTCGCGGGAAATTCGAGTATGCTGCTGCGTCATTACGCCACGTCTGTAAACATAAAGAAGTTGTCCCAGCTACTAGGTTATCGCATGTGAGGATCCTGCAGGACAGACTTGATACTTACTTGTTCAGATGACTATATCCGGTGAAAATTCTTATTTGGGTCATATATTCCAAGACGTAGGCTAGAATCTGTGATTACTAAGTATAGGATTCACACCGGGAATATATAGGAGCCGTGCCAGAGTACAACCCAGGCAAGGAAGATAATTCCGCAAGTAACTGCAATTCCAGGTTTTCAAACAGAGAGGGCGACAAAGAGGTAAAACTTATGGACTGCAGCTTTAACAAGGACAATACACTTGACCTATTAGGCAGACAAAATTCTTGTGTTTGCATAATAACCTCTAGTTTTTTTCTATTAATTAAATTTATTTGTTTTTTGATCTTAAACTGATACAAGTACTGTACAAGTACTGAACAATTACTGTAAGTAATGTATAAGAGTGTATGTTTTTAGTACATTTTGTCAAACTGCTGCAAACCTGTGCAGGAAAATAAGAAGATAAGAACTGAGGAACAAAATAGCGTTCTAATGTTGTTTAAGATTATTATTATTTTTTTTTTTCATTTTTCACATTACCGTCAACTAAATATGTGACCCTGGACCACAAAACCAGTCTTAAGTAACACAGGTATATTTGTAGCAATAGCGAAAAATACATTGTATGGGTAAAAATTATCGATTTTTTTATGCCAAAAATCATTAGGATATTAAGTAAAAATCATGTTCCATGAAGATATTTTGTAAATTTACTACCGTAAATATATCAAAACCTAATTTTTGATTAGTAATATGCATTGCTAAGAACTTCATTTTGACAACTTTAAAGGTGATTTTCTCAATATTTTGATTTTTTGCACCCTCAGATTCCAGATTTTCAAATAGTTGTATCTCAGCCAAATATTGTCCTATTCTAACAGACCATACATCAATGGAAAGCATATTTATTCAGATGATTTATAAATCTCAATTTCAAAAAATTTAACCTTATGACTGGTTTTGTGGTCCAGGGTCACATATTAGTTTTGTTGATAAATAATATTTTATCACATATTTTATTTTATTTTATTTCTCATCATTTGTCATTTTAGTCAAAGAACTAAAATTAATGACATGACAAAATACTGTCTACATTTACAGGATATTTTCATCAAAAGAAAAAATATATAAACAAAAACTATAAAAAGAGCACTAAACTAGACGAGTTTCCAATAATGTGTAATATTTCGTGGATCAGGTTCATGTCATTGCTTAACAATTTAAAAGTTCATAAATACAGACAGATGCAGGTCAAAAAAGCAGCATTTTCCTGAATGTTAAAGACTACTGAGGGAAGGACACCAGGGTGATTTGGATGCTGTATAGGACAACTACATCTCTTTCATCCTGAGCGAGTCCTCTGGGACAGAACAGAGATTAGATTTCAAGTACACCTCTGTGGTAATTGTTCCAAGAGGAGCAGGTCCATTATCTGCGCTCAGGTACACATTGTGATGCTGACTGCAGGTGACTTCTGTTCAGTTGGGAGTAAACTCTATCGACAGTGAATGTGAAACAAACACATGTAGCAAACACAGATGTCTCGAATTCCCTCTTGGAGAGCCCAGCATTGCTGTTGCCCAGAGCAACAAACATCTAAACAGAAACCCCCACTGTGAAATAAGCTGGTTTCAGAGCACAAGGTCTCACTGTGGCACTCATACCACAGAAGTCACACGGTGGATAACAAGCCTAATCCGGCCAGACAAGAGAAGAAGCCCTAAGCTATCAGGTTTCAAAACATCTTCACTGGGAACATGTCTCTTGAGCTGACGTTCAACCCTGATATACAGCTGACGGTGATGATGCGTCTGCGAGTACAGTCTCTGCAGCAGCGAGGCCAGAAACGTCAAGACGGAGAGCGTCTACTGAAGTCCAACGAGCACGTCTACCGTCTGGACTTCTCCGAACAGGCCCTGCATTTCACCCGCTGGAACATCCGCATGTCCGCACCCGGCCGCCTCAACATCATCGCCACCTCCCAACTCTGGACGCCCGACCTGACCCACCTCATGACCCGCCAGCTCCTCGAACCGACCGGCCTCTTCTGGAAAAGCGCAGACGACGATCTCATCCAATGCTACGAGGCTGACGCTCAGGAGTTCGGCGAGAGGATAGCCGAGCTGGCCAAGGTTCGCAAGGTGATGTATTTTCTGTTCGCCTTTGAAGACGGTTTGAGTCCGGAGAACATCGAGTGCTCCATTGAGTTCCAGAAGTAAGAGAACTTTAAGGGTATGGCGGCTTTCTGTTGAGTTTACTTAACCTAGACCAAGTGGTTTAAAATGATGTTCCTAAAGACCAATAAAATTCGATTTTATGACCAGATCTTGAGCTTTATCTGTCTGATTGTTCATGTTTAGCTGTTTTTGTGAGTGTGATGAGACTTTAACCCAAGATAAATCGCACTAATAATTCAAGAAGATCAAAATTATTCATGAATAAAGCAAAACTTGTGCTTTTAGTGGTTGTAGTTCTTTAAATAATTAATGTACTGGGGTGTAATGGGAGTGCCCTTGAGCAGTGGTTCTCAATCTTTTAGACTTCAAGGCTCCTTAATGTCCACGATAATATTCGAAGCCCATGGCTATTCCATTTTTTTCTGGATTAAAAATAGGAATTTTACTCACAATTTCTACCTGATAAAATATTTTTGGGCTTGGTATAAACACAAAAATGTATATTAATAAAATATATACAAATGTACAAGGAGTAATAACATTTTATACATTTTCATGACTTTCCAGGTCCTGGAAATCACATTTTTGAAATCAGACTACCTCATATATCCAGGTTTTTCTAAATTGTAGGAATCCTGGTTCTTCAAAGGTTTATATGAATGCTTGTTTTGTCTTATTTTAAGTCATCTTGCGATAACCACTGCCCTCGAGTATGTATCCATGCTGGGTGCATGTGACTGGGTGTGATAAAAGGTTGCTGCAAAGACACGGGGCAAGGATAGCAGCATACACACCTTCATTTATCAATGCCCGACCCTGTCAGGAAAACAAATGACAGGACGGGGGAGAGGAGTCACATGGGAAAGCCCTATAAGTCAACCCCTTCATGATGATGTGTGTTTCTAGGGGAGAGGAAATGTTTCCCTAGGCAGGGGACAACACTTCGCGCCCTGGGGAGGATGCGGGGGCCCCTAGCTTAACATTTAAGCTAAATAACAGCTCATAAACCATTAACCATTAACACCCTTTACCTGTCTACCTCCAACAAAGCTACAAACAGAAACCGAAATACAGTTTACACCAGCTGGAACTACAGGGTGCGTGTGTGTGCATTCATGAAGCTACAGGTGAGTGGATCTCTCCCCTGTTTAACCATCATCAGGTAATGGTTCCTAATAGAGCACACAGATCCTATGGCAGGCTGCACTTACAGCTGCTAATAGAGCTCAGAGAGACTGTTTTGCTCCTCCTCGCTGCTTAACACACTCTTTATATAAGGTAACAAAAAGATATTCTGACAAAATATGCAAGAATATGCACGTTTAAATCCCACAGCGCAGGTCTTATGGGAAACCTCTGCAACCTCTGCAAGTATCAAGGGAAAAGTGATACATGTAGGCAAAACTTAACTATTTTTGTGCTTGCTGAGCAAAACCTATTCCTATTGGGCAAACCATTCAGCCATAAAGTGATTATTTAATGAGTTCTATAATTCTATACATTATTCTATAATTGTATATACTAGAATTATGGTCACACTTTATTTTAAGGTCCAATTCTCGCTATTAACAAACAATTAACTATGACTTTTGCCTCAATAAACTCCTAATTTGCTGCTTATTAATAGTTAGTAAGGTAGTTGTTAAGTTTAGGTATTGGATAGGATTAGGGATGTAGAATATGGTCATGCAGAATATGTGCTTTATAAGTACTAATAAACAGCCAATATGTTAATAATAGGCATGCTAATAAGCAATTAGTTAATAGTGAGAATTGGTCCCTATACTAAAGGGTTACCATAATTATGTAGTATATATTTATGAATTTTGAAACAACAATAAAAAATAAAACTAACACTGAACAATATGTACAAAATGTTCATAAATTTATATTTTATAAAATACATTAATAAATAAATAAATAAATATATGATAAAATATAATTAATAATATCAAGGCAAAAGTCATTTTAAACCAAATCTAAATATTATTATTGTATTTGATTCAAAATAAATTACTTATACAAATTCAAAGTACATTTGTATAAGTAATTTATTTTATTATTAGTTTGACATAGTATGAATTATGTCACATATATGAACAAATTTTAGTTGTTGATCTAAATAAAAATAAATTAAATTACATACACATTTATTTTGTACAGTTAATTAAATATTAATTAAATGAAATATATGATACAATAATATATAGTAAAAAATATAATAATGTAATAATGTTACTATATTGGTATATCATCTAACATTGTTATTTTATTATTATAATAATAATATAATAAATATAATTATATTATAATACAAAAATAATATTGATTTTTTTTTCCTATTTATTTTTCTGTTTTATCAAGGTCACAAGATCACAATAATAACGGCCTCCAAATTCTACAATGTTCTCATTATCTTGCAAATGAATCAGTGCTGGGAATTTGCATACAAATCTTCTCACAGCTGCACTTTCATACTTAACACCAATGCACATTAAGATGGACTCCATTCAAAACAATTCTGAAACCATTTGAAATTCTCATTTAAGAAATGTCTAGATTTTTCCTGAATACTTTGGTATCTGCCTTCTGCGCTGATTTATTTATTTTTTTTCTATCTGAGCGGCAGCAAAATCGTAGCTTAGAGGGAATGTTATATGCAGGATAGATGCATGTTTACACACTGTACCGACTTACTTTCTGCCACAGTGACTCTCGGGAAGCCAGGCTGGAGCAGGCCGCCACAAACCAGCAGTTTCCCAGCTGCCCTTGGTGCAGGTCATGGGCACTGATCCCATCCACAAACAAGTGAGGATCATCACACAGCTCCTGATGGAGAAACAGACAGAAAGAGAGAGAGAGAAATAAGAGTGAGAAATTGGTGAGAAGTAAAAAAAACAACAACAAAAAGCACAGTGTGAATAGCAAAGATGCACAAATATATCTTTTAAGAAAGACTGCAGCAAGCATGTCCAAAAACAAAGTAGTTTGTTCAAAAAATATAGGCCTAGTACATTTAGCTTTATTCTGATTAATGAAAGGAAGAGAAAAACTAGTACTTGTAAAAGTGTTGGAGACAGAAGCAGGGCACAGGCTGTTTAATTAATTTGATAATAGTTATGAATCTAGATGAAGCAGTACAGTTCTGAAAGCTGTTATAAATCAAATGACTCTCCTTTGCTCTGACAGCATCTAGCACACCTTTACACCGACCTCATCACAACCACTGGGACACACAGCCCAGAAACAATGGGCAGCCAGAGATTTTGTGTGACCTAAACGTAAAGGTCTGGGTCTCTTTAAACAGCTGACATACACTGGGCACAGTGACAGAAGCTGAGGGGAATGTAGCGACTCACAGGCTATAGCTCATTTTGCCTCTGTGTTGACTATCTCTCAGAGGAGTTGCCACAAATGAGCCCTGGAAAAAGACTAAATGCTTTAATAAGCACCTAACAAACCCGTAATGCCTTGTAAAAGCTTAGGGGTGATTCTTATGATGACAACTCATGGCAGAAAAAATAACATACCTTCTCATGCTGTAATATACTAAAATATATATCACTGGAAGTAATAATAAAGTGAGTTTATCAAACTGATTCAGCGGTAAAGGTACAGTCACATTATGGAAACTTTGGTGAAATTTTACGGTGTATAGTTACATGAATCCCCATCTACTAAAATGTCAAAACAGGCAGCTTTATATTGAAAAACATATAGGAAAATTTGTTTGAATCCCATGTGAAATCCACGTCACTTGGATTCCTATTATGGAATTTTACCCATACAAAGGTGACGCATCTTAACTCCTGAATTCATGAGTCTTTTCAAATAGTTAATTAAAAAGAACAAGCTCAGTATTTCCGGTTCAGGAAACAAACTGAGACATTGATTGTGCTGCAGGTTGCTTATTACTAAAGTGAACCAGTTCATTAGAGTCATTTGTTTGTTAACTGGACTACACCAATTGCGCTGAATGATTCTGATGTACTAAAAAGAACCAAAAGAACCAGGTCCAACCCTCTACATTGCGAGTAAATCACTCGCATATGCGACTAAATCTTACTCTGGGCAACTAAATAATGTCTAACATTAGCCATTGGCTAATAAATTCTTAGATTTTACACGCCAGTATGTGTGTGAGAGGCGTTCAACACAGATTTTCACTCGATAAACACGCTGACTGAGCGCTTGAGAGTTTCGCTCTCCGTCAAGCGATCTGTACTATTTGGATGCGCTCAATGGATCATGTCATGTACTCAATGGATGCGCAGTATGTAGCACGCAGCGGACCTGTATTTGACGTACCGTAAACTAGTGTGAAGGCGCACGACTCGCCGTCGCTTTACTGATAGCGCTGTGTTTCTCACACATGCAAAGAGAGAGAGCGAGAGTCTTGCATACCACGCTGAATCGACGCGCTACATGTAAAGCATATTCTTTGTTGTATTTTCCTGTCAAAATAACAATAGTTCATTTAGAATTATTCAGCTTTTAAGAACAAGCAGAAGATATGCCGGTTTCTCGGCAGTGGGCGGAGCTAATGCGCGAACAGCTCTCGTTGGTTGGCGCTCATCTATTACCGTTCCTGTTTTGATTTCAGCAAATCAGTTCGAGCAAACGCTGACAACGTGATCAATATTCATGAACCCAGCAGATAACAGTGTAGTAGTAGTAGTAGTATCTTTTAATAATAATTACTATTACCTATTACCAACAATATCTTAAACACCACCACCAGTCCTAAGTTCAGTTAAAATTACAAATATGCATTCATTCATGGTTACCAAGTTTTAGTTCTAATCACTAGTTCTATCATTAAATAGTGCTTAATTATCATAATATAATGCTTGATTGGCTGAAGTTAAGAGTGCACATTCAGTTATTTAAGAAGCTGTTCCATTTTACAAAGATAAGCTGATTGGGTGGAATCATGTGTGTGTGTGCGTGTGTGTGTGTGTACCTACTTAACCATATTTTGGGGACAAATTTGTACCCAAAAGTGAGCAAAACCTGACAAAATCGGCAAAAAACTCAATTTGTGGATTTCCTCATTTGTAAAACTGTTATAAAAATAAAGTAAACAGTTTTTTTTTACTTTTGAAATTGTAAACAGACAGAAAGTTTTCTGTGAGGGGGAGGGTTAGGGGGAGGGGGGGGTTTAGGTTAAAAAGTGTATAACTATCTGTATATAAAAACAATAGAAGTCTATGTAATGTCCCCATTTAGATAGCTAAATAAACGTGTGTGTGTGTGTGTGTGTAAAATAGTATATTAGTCTGGCGAGTAAACAAAAACATTTACTAGCCAATGGCGATTTATATTGCCAAGGTGTGCGTAGAGGGCTGAGGTCATAAGAATCATTTGTCCATGAATCAGACTACACTGGTTGCACTGTATGGTTTTTTGATTCACTAAAATTAACTAGTTCATAAGAATCACTGGTCACACTTTATTTTAAGGGACAATTCTCACTATTAACAAACCACTAACTATGACTTTTACCCCTATAAACTCCTAATTTGCTGCTTATTAATAGTAAGGTAGTTGTTAAGTTTAGGTATTGGGCAGGATTAGGGATGTAGAATATAGTCATGCAGAATATGTGCTTTATAAGTGCTAATAAACAGCCAATATGCTAATAATACGCATGCTAATAAGCAACTAGTTAAAAGTGAGAATTGGTCCATGTACTAAAGTGTTACCGAATCATTTGTTTGTAAATCAGTCTACACCTATTGCGCTGTATGGTTCTGATTTACTAAAAAGAACCAGTTCATAAGAATCATTTGTCCATATTCAGACTACACTGGCTGCACTGTATGGTTTTGATTCACTAAAATGAACTAGTTCATAAGAATCATTTGTTTGTAAATTAGACTACACCAATTACGCTTTATGGTTTTGATTCACTAAAATGAACTAGTTCATAAGAATCATTTGTTTGTAAATTAGACTACACCAATTACGCTTTATGGTTTTGATTCACTAAAATGAACTAGTTCATTAGAATCATTTGTTTGTAAATCAGTCTACACATATTGCGCTGTATGGATCTGATTTACAAAAAAAACCAGTTCATAAGAATCATTTGTCCATGATCAGACTACACTTGTTGCACTGTATGGTTTTGATTCACTAAAATGAACTAGTTCATTAGAATCATTTGTTTGTAAATCAGTCTACACATATTGCGCTGTATGGATCTGATTTACAAAAAAAACCAGTTCATAAGAATCATTTGTCCATGATCAGACTACACTTGTTGCACTGTATGGTTTTGATTCACTAAAATGAACTAGTTCATTAGAATCATTTGTTTGTAAATCAGTCTACACATATTGCGCTGTATGGATCTGATTTACAAAAAAAACCAGTTCATAAGAATCATTTGTCCATGATCAGACTACACTTGTTGCACTGTATGGTTTTGATTCACTAAAATGAACTAGTTCATTAGAATCATTTGTTTGTAAATCAGTCTACACATATTGCGCTGTATGGATCTGATTTACAAAAAAAACCAGTTCATAAGAATCATTTGTCCATGATCAGACTACACTTGTTGCACTGTATGGTTTTGATTCACTAAAATGAACTAGTTCATTAGAATCATTTGTTTGTAAATCAGTCTACACATATTGCGCTGTATGGATCTGATTTACAAAAAAAACCAGTTCATAAGAATCATTTGTCCATGATCAGACTACACTTGTTGCACTGTATGGTTTTGATTCACTAAAATGAACTAGTTCATTAGAATCATTTGTTTGTAAATCAGTCTACACATATTGCGCTGTATGGATCTGATTTACAAAAAAAACCAGTTCATAAGAATCATTTGTCCATGATCAGACTACACTTGTTGCACTGTATGGTTTTGATTCACTAAAATGAACTAGTTCATTAGAATCATTTGTTTGTAAATCAGTCTACACATATTGCGCTGTATGGATCTGATTTACAAAAAAAACCAGTTCATAAGAATCATTTGTCCATGATCAGACTACACTTGTTGCACTGTATGGTTTTGATTCACTTAAATGAGCAAGTTCATAAGAATAATTTGTTTGTAAATCAGTCTACACCTATTGCGCTTGGGTTCTGATTTACTAAAAAAGAACCAGTTAATAAGAATCATGTGTCCATGATCAGACTACACTGGTTGCACTGTATGATTTTGATTCACTAAAATGAACTAGTTCATAAGAATCATTTTGTATGGTTTTGATTCACTAAAATGAACTAGTTCATAAGAATCATATGTTTGTAAATCAGACTACGGCAATTACGCTGTATGGTTTTGATTCACTAAAATGAACTAGTTCATCAGATTCATTTGGTCATGAATCGGACTACACTGGTTGCACTGTTGATAATAATTATTTGACTACACTGGTAATGTATGCTTAATAGAAAGACTTGTTTTCTTGTCATTATTTTGCAGTACACACTTTTTTTTTCTTGCATGCAATTCAGAAGCCTGAAAATTTCTTTTGGTCTTAGATTTAAAGAATCTAAAGAATGAAATCTACATTTTAATCCAGACATAACTGCTAGTCTAACAAGTCTCACACTTATTTTAAGAATTTGTAAGTTGTTAAAACGTCTTTTTTTTCATGGTCATGTCTTATCTCACCTAAGGTACAAATTGAGCCAGGATCCCTCGAAAACCATATGAGCATGACACCCCTGCTGGGACGGCTAGTCTCTGGAGGTATAAAATACATCTCACAGTCCAAATTTACTTGCTCTAACAACACTCATTTGTCTTTCACATTGTGCTATCCGGAATCATTTCCACAGCTCAGCAGGTGAGGACTCTCCTC